ATATGGAAGTCAATAAAAAATAGGCGAGATAGGTTGGTAGGACACCTTCTCAGGCATGAAGGTCTAGTCAGAGACATATTAGAGGCAGAAACAGGAGGGGTAGAGGTAGACCTAGATTAGATTACTCTTCGCAAATAGTTAAGGATGTGGGCTGTTCTAGTTTTAGGGAAATGCGAAGATTAGCTCAGGATAGAAAATAGTGGAGGTACGTATTCAACCAGTCTTAGGACTGATGACCTTATGATGATGATGATGATCAGATTAAATGAACAAGACCAAAACTTAACACGCAGGACCAAGATCAAGACCAAGACCGACACCGAGACTATATCAGCAAGACCAAGACTAGAACTATTTGCGACAATCTTGGTCTTAGTCTTGCTTTACTCATCACTAGTGCCTTGACATTCCATTAAACATAAATTACCTTATCTCAAAATGTTAACATTTAGGCGGGGTTTCTTAATCAATTAAATATACGGATTTTTGTCTAAAGTTCTAAAGGACTAGTGTAAATAAAAATAATTCTTTTAATGTTGCAGAAACTCAAATATCTACTCATTTGTTAGGGTTATTCAATTAATGTTTTTTTTTAGATACGCCAAGAAATCGAAGAAGTATCGTCATCAGATGATGAAGAACCTCAATACATCCGTACAGATTCCTTATTGAAAGTCAACGGCTACTCAGACGAGTGGCACGAAAATTGGATGATGCAGAAAAGAAGACTTAATGGTACAGCTTCGCCTGTACCTGTGCCCATGTTGGTTCCAAATCCTAACACGGAAGCCAAAGTTAAAATAGGTGATAAAGAAGCGGATGAGACCTCAGATTTATCGGATGTAGGATCGGATTTTGGTGACATGGAGTCATCGCAAGATATTAAATCGATTTTGATCGATTCAAAGACAGTGATTGGCGGCAAGAACTTGCTGGACAAGATCAATTTGTCGGTCGACAGTGTCTCTGAAGACGAGAGTACGGATGTATCCGATATGAGAGAAGAAAAAGAAGATGTGATCAAAAGATTTGTTGCCAATGGTGATAAAGACGAAGATCTAAATGTGCCAAAATCAGTTACTCCAGAATCAGGTAAGTTTATCAAATATCAAATAAGAACATAATTTGAACAAGTGTGACTTCTCAATATAAATCTTTGAAAAAAGAGAATTTGAAAACACCCACGTAAAATGAACTTAATGGTTCATATTGAAATTTAAAATCCATTACATTGATTTTAATTAAAACCTTATAAAGTCGTTGTGAAGGCGAGAGAAACTCGTGAAATACATTTTTTTAAACCAAGAACTTTAGAACATGACTGTAAAACGAAATGACTCAATTGTTCATTTTTTTGGTCTTATGTTACCTTTTGAGTTTTACCCTTCATACCGTCGATAAAGAAGTTTTACTTCAATAATAATAATAATAAACAGTAAGTTTGGAGACATGAACTTGAAGAAGTTCGTAGAAATGAAGATACGGAATTTTAGGTAGAAATAAAGGATAGGCCAGCTATTAGTAGAGAATGCGAGCAAGTAAGGTAAGAATGAATTTCGAGGTAGAGGAAACAATAGGCATAGGCAAGATTAAGTTAAAGTATTATACAGGGATTATTAGAAAGTACAGACAAGAAAAGATACGATGAAATATAGATAGTACAAAAGAATTTAAATAGAAGCGATATTTACACAGTGACAATGGACAAAAGACACAATTCAAACCAGTGCATAATTGCAGAAATATTTACAAAAATAATCACATGCGACCAAAATCCTCATTTTTGTTATCGATTGTAAAATTCTATTTAATTTTCTAATTCTAAGGCAAGAGCGTATTTTAGTTGGGCCATTGTTTTAAAGTATTAGCAATATTGCAATAGTTTCATTCCTATATCACGTTACTATGGTTGGGAACATGTTGGGTAGGTTACTCTACTATTTCAAATCAGAACATAACCCCTTGAGAAGTCATTTTAGTTATGTATTTGTCAAATTAAACATTTTTGTCTGCCATTTTTGTCCAAAAGTAGATAAAACTTTTTTAACTTGTAAAATTCTAAAAAAAATTGTAAAAGACGAAACGAAATAAAAAAAATCAATAGAGTATAAACGTTCGACATGTTCCTGGATAACTTATTTCAAGTGATTTACAAAAATATGTATAACTTTTTAAAAGATAATGGAAATAAAAGTAATCGAAAACAAGGTATTTTTATTAAATATATACCTTCGTTAGCTATATCACAAAAAGGAGTATACTTTTTACAATTTCATAAAGTATTAACTTTTACTACAGACATATCGACAATGTGCGTTTGTAATAGTTTTTTTTTGAAACTCATCGTTAGTATTCAAAGAGGTGAAGGTTTGAACTATTCGTTTTTTTTTTTTGCTTCTACTCAAAAGCAATGGGACCAATTACTAAGCGAATGATGTCAGTTTGTTTTCTGTCACAAAAAGCTCAATCTCATAGCGGTACACAGTAGCTCAAGAAGAACAAACACGTTGCTTTTATCAGTACTCACACAGATTAAAATTGCTTCCATTTATTTAAGGTACGGAACACTACAATTACAACGGCTTCACTTCTTTGGAAAGTAATGTCGAAAAAGATACAGAATATACCGAAAGATATGCGTCACTTCCCAGAACTGTAGAAAAAATTCCGGAAGTACAGAAAAGGTATGTAGAATTTAGATCACAATTTACGTCCTTTAACGCCTTAATACGGACAAAATGTAGAGGGAGAAATAATAAGAATTTTTTTAAAGAAGTAATTTTTGTAACAATCCAGATCAAATATATCTGGAGTGGGAAGTGGGAAGGTAAAATTAAAAGTAAAGAGACGTACGCGTAAATAGCGCACGCTTTACTACTTAGTATTACAATATTTTGCTGATTTTTAAAATTTATTCCATGAAGCTATACACTTAAAATGATATTTGATAATTTTCGTGATAATTAATTACGTTAGAATTTAATTGGTTTTGAGTGAGTATTACCGTAATTGAAATTATTGAGATTGTAGTAGCCAAAATTTCGTGAAATGCAGTTTGGGTAATTGTCCAGAAATGGGGCTCCAGACCAAAATCGCTCCAAAAATTTTTTCAATGATTCTACATAATAGAATTAGATATTAGAAGGTGGGGATGACAGTTTTTATGACTTCATAAATAAAATTTTATTTTTTATTTTTCGAAAAAAAAAGTATGCTTCATTTACTTTCTCTAGCGATGTGCCCCTTCCAATGTTTTCGATGCGCGCTCGCAAAATCGTTGGTAGGGAGAAAACAGCTCTCGTTATACTTTCGACTCTTGTTCATTAAACATACTTTTTCATACAGTACCTGCTAAAAGTTTTGTTCAATCATGAATAGTAGTGCGAGTCGAAAACAAGCGTTAAAGCCTTCAATATGTCTTCAAATATAAATAAACATCTCGTTGGTATTTTCAGTAGTAATTGGTACCAATAACAGCACATTTGAGCAATTGTAGTGGATAAAATGGTCAATTTTTCCGTGCAGTACTGTACGGAATATACGCTCCTCGCCGGTTAAGAATTTGGCCGAGAGTTGTCTCCTTCCTTTTCTGGCCTAGTGCTGTTCTTTTCTACTTTGCGCCGGTCATACTAAAGATCACATCGTTACAGAAACTAAACAAATTATTTCCTGTCGTGTCTCCCCCGTCTCAAATATAATCATTGAACCAGAAATGATGACACAACAAAAGTGTCCACACTTTTTAAAAACTCCTGCCGGACGGTCCCCGAACGTCCTTCAAACTAGGACAAATCCGGGGAATCCCGGACGGATGGCAGCCCTATAAGGAAAGGAAGTTTCAGCTCGAGCCTGTTGTCCTGAAAGACGTTGTGACATAGACAGAGGCCTCGCGTTACAGCAAAATACATGGGCGTTTGTGTGACCTCTTTTTTTTTGTTTGGATGCCGCGCCGCTATATTATTTTATTATATCTAACCACTTCCAATGCATTAAAAAATAAAAATACAAAATGTTTATTGCTTTAATTCAATATATATAATAACACATCTTAGCATTACAATGTCTTGGTTAGGAGTAGATACTGATACCATGAATTTTTAATTTGTATTTCCATAAAATTTTAATTTGTTAATATTCGTTGATAGTAATGGTGCTAAACAGAAAACTTTATCAGATCAAAGTAAAGTGCTTCATTCGCAGCAGAATGGCAAAGTGCTCGAAGAAAACAACAATGAAATGAATCAATGTTCATTCAATGGGGTGCAAAGGAAAAATGGTGTTGAGGAAGACAGATCTGAAATGTTTAAAGGTAAGAAACGTTAATGAGTCAAGTGTAGCCGTAATACCCTAATACGAAGCAAGTCAAACCGATCATAGAACTGAATTGTTAAATTTTTATTTTTTGTAAAAATAGGTACCTATCCTATAAGCATTACACGGTATGTCATTTTTTAAGTGCCTTGCACACAAGCGCAAAATTTATAAAAGTTTTTTAACAATAAAATAAATCGCCGAAAAAATTGAAAAGCAAAAAATAATAAACCTTTATTTTATTAACCTTAATAAATAAGTTGTTCAAAGTGTGACTTCTCAATATAAATCTTTGAAAAAAGAGAATTTGAAAACACCCACGTAAAATGAACTTAATGGTTCATATTGAAATTTAAAATCCATTACATTGATTTTAATTAAAACCTTATAAAGTCGTTGTGAAGGCGAGAGAAACTCGTGAAATACATTTTTTTAAACCAAGAACTTTAGAACATGACTGTAAAACGAAATGACTCAATTGTTCATTTTTTTGGTCTTATGTTACCTTTTGAGTTTTACCCTTCATACCGTCGATAAAGAAGTTTTACTTCAATAATAATAATAANTTTTTTGTGGCTATAATCTACTAATTACCACTACTACTATCAGGTACTATTATTTTCCTACTACAAATCATCCCCTGTTTCCTATCCTTTTTTCCAAGTTTATATTCGACCAACTTTGAGGTACACCCTTTCCAATAAAAAAAGAGTTATCGAAATCAGACTATTCTGTTAAAAGTTACGCGTGGTCATACATTACAGTCAGTGAGTGAACAACAATCAACAATCATCCCCTTGTTTCCTACCCTTAGGATTGGAATTTTGTTTCCAAATTTATACCCTTTCCAATAAAAAAAATAAATACAACGTGTAATTATACAACACGCTACTGAAATGAAACTTCTTCAAACACAGAAACATACCGGGATAGGGATTAAGGAATTGGCGTCTGTGGCGTCGTTTCGACTGTAGAATGAGGGCACAAATATATAAACAGATACAAATACATACATTTTGTTAGGGCTGCACTATACATACAGGAGTTGCCTGCATTGAAGCGCGTTTACGGCTCAAGCGATCCCTACTACGAAGTCGACTACGTGGCCGTTGCATGATTTCGTTACATAGCAACTCGCATGAAACGAACTTACCTTACCATGTGTAAAGAAGTTTCATTTCAAAAAGAATTATCAAAATCGGACTACCACTAAAAAGTTATGCGTGGGCATACAAAAAAAAAAGAAAATATATGCGTCGACTTGAAAATATACCCCTTTCTTTCGTCCGTTAAAAATAGAAAATTATGTATCGTGGTATTTTATAATTTACAGGAAGTTACGCGGAAAGAGAGAAAAATAAATGGTATCAACAAGCTGTTGAACTTAAAAACAACCCTTATTCCGAAGAAAACCTCCAACGACGATTAAGTACACAATCCACTAACAGCTCAAGCTCATTGTAAGTACATTTCTGATGTATTTGTTACTTTTATTTTGTAATATTAAGCATTAAGCGACGACCGCATTACATTTCATGAGTGGTAGACGCCGGAAACGAAAAGTTTTATCTGTTGTAACAGGAAATACTAGTAACGCAGTGGTATATTGCCAGACCTAGGGAAATCTCCTTATACATAAGGAAAAGACGATTTTTATTCAATTTTATACAAAATCTGTAGAGAATTCTTAATGTTCATAACAAGAAAATAAAAATAAATAAGAGATGGATTTAACTAATTGAAAAACAAATATTTTACATTTACAACTTCCTCGGGAATAACTTGGAGGGAGTATGCATTGCTTCCGGTGGTTTTTCTGCTGTCCTTACGTGACTGCTAGATCAATGTTATATTAAGAAATCATTATTTGTAAACAAAAACGAAACGTCTTACCTCAACTAACCACAACAATTAAAAACAATGCGGACACGTTATTGAATTATTTGCATTTGTTAAATAATACCCCTACTGAAATATTGCAAAAAATATAAACGTAAATATGCAAAATATACAGATATACATACAGATTGTGGGGTATATGTATAATAGTCATGTTGTTAGGGAAATCTAGGAAAATTTCGGCAAAAAGTCTAGGAAATAAAGCGAATATACGTTTTCGTAAAAGTAAAAGTTGAACAGAGCCATGTATCTAATGATACGGCAGTATTCAGCTTGAGGCTTCAACTAATTTTGTGTAAGAATAATAATTATTCACAGTCGTAGCATGTCAAAATTCACATACAGTTCAACCTTGGTTGTTTACTGTGATTGTTGGTTATTTATTTTTTTTTTGACTAATTAGAATGTCAGAACCTTACATTTACATTCGTGGGTCTGCACACAGCGCCGAGGAAAGTATAAAAAACAAACTTAGAAGTACTTTCTTTTTTGCAGCTTTTGATCAAATTGAAAAAGAAATTTTTAATGATACGAGGGTTGGGTTAGGTTTTTTAAAAACATGGGTAAAATAATAAAAAAAAAACGAAGGATCACTTCATTGTTCGTCCGTCTGTTTGTTTGTCAAAAGTATCTCCGATTATTACCCTTACTGGGTACTTCAAGTTGAGTGAGGACCCTCAATTTTGGATTGAAGGAGAATCTTATGGTGAAAATTCAGGAAAAATAATGAAAATCAGGCATTTTGAATTTTCAACAGATATTTTTTTTGTAAAACTAGGTACACATAATATATCGTGTAGAGTATCATTTAAAGGGGTTCGTTACTACTAATAACATTTAAAAAGATATTTTAATGTATTTGATAAGTGCCGGTGCGGTAAATGGTACGATATCTAATTCGGAAAATGACTTTTTGATATGATATTGCAATAAAATTGTTAAATACAACTACCATTTATGATACCGGTTACTGTAATCATTGTATGTTTCAATCAGAAGATTTAGATGACTACACAATGCTAGATAATAATTAGAAGTAGGACTTTGGACTTAAATCGTTTTCTGTGACGATTACCTATTTTTAGTCAATTGTTAAATATTTCCTACAAAGATTAAATTCTTTTATTCGATAAAAAAATTTTATCAATTACTTTGAGTGCCTGAAGATATATCAAAATATGCAACCAGAAGCAGTTAAGGATCATGTGAAAAATAGCACAGATTGTTTTGATTTCAAATTACGTAATTTTCTATTTTTATTTGATTTGCAATTTTGTGGCTATTAGTCATTTAACAAATGTTAAATTAAAGTTTTAAAATGGAATGAAAAACTTTACACTCCTGAATGCTTAATATTAATAGATCTCATTTCTTCCTTTTATCATCACAACTTATAAAAGATCAAAGTTAAAATAGGGTTGTAAATATTATTCATGTAAAACCAACACTGAAGTTTTGCCTCCAATCCAGGAGGATTTTCCATACTACTTCAAAAAAGTTTCCTAACTATTTATGGTAAAAAATGAAGTACCCGACTATGTAACTTTATTAGTTTCGGAAATATGGAATGCGTAATTCATTATTCGATAATTTTTCAAAACATATTTGGAGATATCCCATTTGAAATTTGATTGTATTATCAAATATAATTACTGCTTTAATTGTTGATTTCGGAGAATCATCATCATCATCATCATAAGGTCGTCAGTCCTAAAACTGGTTGGACAGGTACCTTCGCTCTTTATCCTGAGCTAAACTTCGCATTTCCCTAAAACTAGAACTACCCATATCCTTAACTATTTGCGAACAGTAATCTAACCTAGGTATATCTCGCCTATTTTTTATTGACTTTCTAATACCTCTTCATTTCTAACCTTTTCTATCCACGGTATCCTCATCATTCGAAGAATATAGAATTAATAGTAATAATTAATCGGTAAAAGATTAGAGCCCGAAAAAAGATTTAAAAATAATTTTACTGATGTATTAAAACGAACACCCACGGTTCGCCTCTACTTAGGATGATATTTTTCCAAAGTAAGTTTTCACAGTCTAATAAGAAAATTGTGTTGGTTTTGCATCAATAAAATTATTTTCAAACCTGTTTTCTAGTTCTGACCTTTTACAGGCTTATTTATTAATTCTATATTCTCTGAAATGAGCAATTAATGTAGTAATTATATTTTACTATACAATCGAATTTCAAGTGTGAGATATCTCCAGCACCAGATATAATTTGAAAAATAATCGAATAATACATTACGCGTTTCATATTTACGAAACTACTAAAACTAAAATTATAACAACATTACATACCTGTAGGCAGGTATTTTATTCTTTATCATGGGATTTTGCATTTAATGCACAAAAATATAAATACGGCATGCTTAAAATTATGCTTATACGATAACAGTCCGGAAAATAGTTCGTTTTTATTCGAGTCGTGTGATAACTTCATTGTTTAAATCAAGTGATCAATTACGGAATATGAAACTTATCTCCGTTTAAAGTTGTTAAGATACTTGACGATAAGCGTTTATAATATTTGCAATTTTAAAGCAATTATTTTAACTGAAATTTGTGTTGCGTGAATCAAGTGAAAATTATAGTGGAACGTCGACATGTCTGGTAAACGCATAATTGATTTATTAGAGGAAGATCTTAAACAAGAACGAAACATCAGGCAAGTTGAAATTTAATTAAAAAGGATTTTGGTTAAGGTTTGGCCAAATTTGGTACTGTTACTACTAACTAAGATTAATTTTACGAGTTTTATTGTCTTTTGTATATTGATAGACGTTTCGCCTTTCATCGTTAGGCTAGAGTTAGACCAGGACCATCGCAAGTGCAAAAGACTGCAACGTGTGTTACATTCACAAATAAAAGCTATGTACAGAGTGTTGAACATTCATTTCTACTTTAGGGATTTCGCGCTAAACAACACATACCTTCAAAAGTCTATTTATTATTTCCTCATTGTATTTATTTTCCCAATATTTAGTTTCAATAGAAATGTGTTAAGAAAACGTATTAGTGCAAATATCAACAATGTTTGTTTATTCTAGCAGATCATATCTACAAGCATAGGTATGTAGGTATATACATAGGTATATTATGTAATATCAAATATTACGATTCAGGATAATTGAAAGCGTGAAAATTGCGATATTTTTGTGTTCTTCTGCAACAGAGTCAATTCAAATATGCAAAAAATAAAATATGTTTTTAAACATACTTTTTATGAAGAAAATCGTTACGTTTGATGAAACTGTTTAAGATCATTAAATAAGTGAATAAGATTGAGATAAACTGAATTAAAGTTAAAACATGCTCTAAAATATCTAACTACAGTGCGAATAACTAATATTATAAATGAGAATATGAGTTTGTTTGTTTGTTTATTACCATTTCATGCTTTAACTACTTAACCGATTATCAAGAAATTTTGTACATACATTGTCAGTAGTACAGAAAAGGACATACAGTAAAAGTTCCTTATTCACGGTTTCCTTATTAGCGTTTTCATTATTCGCGGATGCAATCGGTAAATAGAAAAGGATTCGGTGTCATTTATTAAGGGGATTGACCGCAATAGACCGCCCGTGCCTAATGTGAATTTTTCCGAAAAAATGGGTTTCTATTCTAAACATTGTGATTTAACGCTGTGAGATAAATATGTGATTTTTTGTATGGTAACAAACAAAGGTTCACACCAACTCGGTACGTTTTTGGTTTTCAATAATATGGCTATTAAAAGCTTTTACAAGTGCTTAAAGTTGATACTTCTTGTAGGACATGTATTTTCAATAGAAATTAAAAAATAAAAAAATAGCCTTCTACAGATTTTAGAACAAAGTTTTATCTATCTTATTAAACTCTTGATATCTAGAACCGATAATTTGAATCCCTTTAAAGTATCGGTGTCTTTTGAGTACGCACAGTTGGTACGTGTCGAAGCGGCTTTTATAAAAAATCTAACCAAGTAGAAAAAGATTCGCTGTTATTTTTCAACGTATCAGCATCTTTTGAGTACTGTTGGCTCGTACCAAAGCGACTTTTATAAAAGATGTAACCGAGTGGACTAATTTCAAAATTCAATACAAGAAAAAATCACTAAATTTTTTAGACTCTTGCCTAAAGCTGATTATAACGATTAATTTTAATTGCGAATTTATCAATAAATTGATTTTATTTTAATACATATTGGTTTTATTTTGGAATCTAGGAACGTAGACCAAGATTAGATTACTGTTCGCATATAGTTAAGGATGTGGGCTGTTCTAGTTTTAGGAAAATGCGAAGTTTGGCTCAGGATAGGAAAGAGTGGAGGTACATGTCCAACCAGTCTTAGGACTGACGACCTTATGATGATGATGTGGAGTCCATGATCTTTGATACGTATTTAGGACATCAACACGAGCCAAAGTGTTATATAAATACTGTTTAATAAGTTGCGTATTCATTACTACTTCATTAAATGTAAAATTATCTAGATATGTACAGAGTGTATTATTTTCCACTCAATGGAGAACAAAAACAATGACTTCATAATGTAATAACCTGCACATATATTATACCTGGATAACTTTAGGACCTTTTTCGCAATTTTACTAAGAATACAATTTTTTTGAGAAATATAAAAATATATAAACACTATAAATTAAATTAAAACAGATAAATGAAAGTTTAGCTTGTTTCTAGACATCACTTTTAATTTTAATTTCGTCAACTGAAGTAAAATGTCAACATCTATTATTATGAATGTCGAAGTTGTCAAATGGAAGTTTTATCAATTAATTTTGTTTTAAGTAATAGTGTTAGTGGTGGTTCAGAATTTTACACTCCAAATCAAGACACATGTATGGCTCAAATGTAATATGTATTCCTAAGTAACATTTTTATTCTATCCCATATCATTTTATTTTAAAAGGTCTTGTTTTTCTTGAATCCTGTCTAACAATAATAATAATCAATTTTTTACTCGCTTTTCATTACTCGATTGAAATCAATTCAAAATTGGTGATGAAAAACGAGAGAGAATTTTCGATAATTAGAAAGTTATGTAGGACAGGATGGAAAACGTAGTACAGGCGAGCATAGGCGTAGCGAGAGGTTTTTCTTAGAGGGGGGCAGATTTAAAATAGATGTAGGTTTAATGTGTTTGGTTACTGTTTTTTAACTTTGTGCCGATATGATTCGTTAGAGCTTTTACGGGGGAGGGGGGTGCGATAAGCTTGCCAGGGAGAGGCAGTACCCCCTTCCGTTGTTCTGCCTGTCTACGCCCATGCAAAGAATTGCACAGGTCGGGTCGCTGTTATCAAAAAGAAATCGCTTTTGTGCTGGCAAACAGTTAATTAATCTTTGGAACATGGAACGTACAATCTCTGTAAATGACGAGTGTTGCCAAAGGGGAGAAAATGTAGGAGTACGGATATATTACGGAAAGTTCTTCTCGTGATCGAAAAAGAGCTAATAAGACTACCAAAGTGTCTTTGGAAAGCACTTGGAAAGCTTTACCTAGACCTCTAATGATATAAAGCTTCAATGTCAATTTGTCTTTACCGACAAGCTTCACTTGCTTGTTGACCTACTAACCGAGTCGTGGGTCTTAGATTACAGTTTTAAACATTTAATTTAGATGGAATAACATTATCTTACCGAACAGAATGGAAAGCGTGGCATACAGACGCTATGTTACATTACCCTTTTACTGAATTGATGTTTTATTTAATTCTTTTTATGCTTCCTTTTAATAGACAAATGCGCCGACACTCATGCAAAATAGTGATTTTTCAATTAATTTCATACAACATTCGTTGTTAATGCTGAAACCTTATCGTTTTAGGCCCAAATTGTAAGCTTTAGGCTTTTAAAGTGCTTTTTCATGTTATTTCGATGGGAAATGCAGTTTTTGTACGCGTCCGTGGTTCACAATGCAGCAAGTACCCCCTCTACTTCCGACTCTTCCGGAGATTGAGGCGGCATCTTCCATAAAAACCTTTTTGTTTTGTTTACTATTGAAAATTATACTTTGTGTATGCACAGTTGTAAGAAACAACTTATGCACAGTAGCTAATAGATTAGGTTATCAAAAACAGTATTTTAAGCGCTTTAACAACATCTAACTGATTTATAAAATTATCGCTATCAAATACAATCTAGAGTACTAGAACGCAATGATAAAATTCTTAACTTAACATTTACGAGTTTTAATTTAGTTGACGTGATGTTGCAATAAATTCGCAATTAGAAATATAAGTTCATTTAATTAGCATTTTCTAACAAACTTCATCATAAAACTACCCAGATTTGGAGGATGTATTTACGTACCTCCACTTTGTTAATATTCGAATCCCCGAACACTAGAACATGCCACATTATTAAATCTTTGTGAACAGTAATCTAATTTAAATCTATCTCTACTGCTCTTAATTCCTATTTCTGCTTCTAATATGTATCTAACTAGGCCTGAGAGGGTGTCCTACCAATCTATCTCACCTATTTCTTATTGACTTCCATAGTGACTTCTGTTCTCCTATTTTTTCTAATAGTTCCTCATTTCTAACATTTACTATCCAGGGTATCCTCATCATTCGCCTGTAACACCACATTTCGAACCTTTTTTTTTCAGCCGCGCCCACCGTCCATGTTTCGCACCCGTACAGCGCCATACTCCTTTAACAATCTTTTTCGAATTTCTAAATAAACCGACTTCTTTTTATTGAAGGCGACTCGACCCTGCGCTATCCTTTGCTTTATATCTCTATTACTCTTATCCTAAATTATCTGACTTCTTCTAATTTTTCATTTCCTATCTTTATATTCGCTTTTTATAAACAAAGGGACGGAAGAAGATAATTTATCTTTCTTTGTTTTGATGTAGAGATGTAGACAATATATTTTTTTTTTCGATGGTAAAAAGAATTATATATAACAACGAAACATCTTTATCATTCAACTTTTAAATGCAGTAGCGCAAAGACAAAACACTAGGCGAAGTTCTAGAAGAAAGGCGCATGCACTGTGTATTTGTTTAAATTCTTTCGGAAAACTAAATTAGTTAAGAGAAAAAATGTTTAGGACTACTTTTGTAGAGTATTAAACTTTCCCCAAAAAAAAATCGACAGATCATATACAAATATAAAATTAAGACTTTAAACATTGGAAATGTCTACAATTTGACGCTTGAATCCTTCGATTTCTAATGTCGATTATTAAATTAACAATTATGAATAATTATCAATTATTACTTTACCATCCAAGGCTCTGTCGTTATTTTTAAGACGAAGTAGAAACAGAAAATGAAAAATAGATAATACGTATTGTGAAGAAATTGTAATAGACTTATGCCTTCAGTTGTTGTTATTTTGGTTTTCAGTTCTTTTCTTTTGAGAATTTTCTAGTTAAAAGATGTAAACGAAACTCTAGCTTCATCAGAGCAAATTGTACGATTTATAGAAATTTAATCGATTACATATCGATTACTTTTATTGTACAAATAACAGATTAATCAAATAACCAACTAAACAAGTAATATATTGATCTCATAATCTATTAACCATAAATAATTAATATCTAGGATTAAATAGTCCGAAATAGACTCTTAGTTTTTTCAATTTTTTATTATGAAAAGTTTAGTTTTGTTTTGTTATAATTCATTGAAAGCAGGAATATTCCTGTAATTTTGGAATAGCGTTATGTTTGCTTTCAAATAAAAAGATTGCGACCAACTTCAATCATGAACAATTTAGTTAATCGATTACATATTTCTACTAATTAAATTACTTAATCGATTAACTGATTACTTCGATTGATCTAAATAATCGATTAGTCTGATTAATCGAAATGATCGATTATTTTCTTACAATCGATGATCGATTGTGAAATTTAATAATCGCACAAATAATATTGGAAGAATTCGTAAGAGACTATGGAACTGTATTATGTTTATCGAATAAATGTCTGTGCTCATGAGTTAAACTGTGGAAAAAGGTAGACTTATCCATTTTGTAGCATTTTTCAGTTTTAACGTCTTTACCTTGTTTGTTGTCCATCTGAAAGAAAATGAAAAGAAATTGAATAATTCCGTAGATAGTATAGTTTAATGAAAAAAGTATTACAAAGAAAAGTTTGGAAAAGTATTTTCTCAGGTTAAGAAAATTTTTGTTCTGAATGTATCTATTCTAGGTTCAGACAGCAAACCAAACGATCGACTATAATTTTTGAAAGACTTATGCTCAAAATGAGGATCGGTGTATTTGTTGAAACCACATACAATTACAATGAAGTAATTCTTACAGAAACTTGGTTTATTGAAAATCTAATATTTGATGTTTAGGTTTAAGTTTTTGGTTCGGTTAGTTGGTGTTTCGTATAGACGAAATCAATGTTTTGCGAATTATAATGCAGTAGGTGTTCGATTATTGTTAATTTAAAAGGTCTACAGCCTTCCTATATGATTAATATAGACTTTGTTCTAATCTTCAAATTATAATAAGCACATTTCTAATCTCGATGATTTGTTTTTATTATTTTCAATGAAATTTGAATATTTGATACGGTATTGTTAATTTTAAAAGAAGTTGCTACAGAAAACCATTTTATATCTTCGAAATCTTAGATAAACAGAAAAATAAAATTCTGTGTTTTGGAGAAAATGCCCTACATTTAAATCAATATAATTTTTAGGTTTGGCAGAGAATATTACATCAAGCAAGCTGCAAGATCAGCTGGTGCTAGCAAACCAAAAAAGGAGGTAAGTGTGGATAAGGTGGTTTTAGAACATCTTGAGGCAGATCTTGTACACTCGAACTTGCACAGAAAATTGTATTCACCGAAAAACACTAGCAGGCAATTTGCACAAAACCCTTTGTTAAATTTCCCAGAAAGTCAGGGTGGATTATAAGAATAGACATGTTAGCATAGAAAATTTTTACTCCAAGTAACATAAAACGTTTGGTAATTTTATTTATTACGATATTTTAACAATATTGACGAAAACTCAACGAACTTTACGTATTGGTAGTTATAATACGTAGTACCTGCAATGTCTGTGGTATATTAGTAGATTCAATAGAAACTAGAAATTTGTTGTGACCTATTGTTGACAAAATAAAGTTTTACAAACGTAAATATAGTAGTAATTACATTTGGTTTGTTTTTCGGTAAGTTGTAATTTGTAACTAATATAGACAGTTAGATGGCAACGCTAATAATCGCAGAGCTTTTTCAGACCATCTTCATATTCATTTCTTTTTAAAAACCATACATGAAAGTTTACTAATGTTACAAATACTGTGCTAGTTGTGTGTAGGTAACTGTAGAAATACTAACGTTATTTATATATAAGTTGACTGAAAATGTTCAAAAAAGCTGTAATTTATTTCAAGTGCAAAGAACAATTTCAGTCAACTCATTATTTTCGCTTTTGCATTAAAGTTTTAATTAGCTATTGGGTTGTCCATTAACTTCTATATCTGGTATTCATCTATCAACTGATTTCGTTCTTTTTATTCTTCTCAAAGAAACTCATAACTTATTAACAAATGAAACATATTCAGCGTTGTTCAGTTGAAGTCGCTTTTGGGTGGAGTTTTTGATATGACAAAACCTTTACTGTGAAATACATTCATGAAATGCATACTTGCTGTTATGACGTACTTCAAATGTTAGATGATTTTGATCTTATTTAATTTCATCAGCACGCCATAGACAGTCTCGATAAAACTCCGACTAAACCGAAAATGCTTTATATGAGCATGTTTATAATATACACTTACAGCAGTATGACGTCATCTACTGATATTTGCTTCTAACTGAAATATTTCAAATGTTAGACCAGGAGCAGCCAATCCAAACAACCAATACTTGTTGGCCACTTTCTAAATAAATCATAGCTCCGGGGGCCGCATATAAAATTATATTTGTCCATCTTAAATTTAGACTTACCACTGTAAATTCATTAACAAAAGAAGAATATTGTTTTAAAATCAAAAAAAATTTTTTCTCATAATTTCCACACTTAATTTTCGAATATATCATTACACAAATAATGTATTTTTCGCCGGTACCGTACCGGTGACTAAGAAGTTATTGTCCGGTATCGTACCAGTGACTAAGAAGCTATTTATCGGTACTGTACCGGTAGCTAAAAAGCTATTCACCGGTATCCAAACGATGAATGAAACATTGTTGATTAGTATTTTAAGTTATCAATAGAACATCTTATATGGTTTATGAGACTATAACACCTTAAACTATTTTCGAATTTAAAATTTCCACAGTACTGAGCCTTAATGACAGGGCTGCTTATGCAAAATTCACAAATTTCATTTCTGCGATTGAAAATTGAGAAGATTATTATACAACGGATATACCTACCTGAATATTAAATTTTCAGTCAAAAACTAGGGGTAGGGGGATGGTTTTTATATGCCGGTATATAGGTATAGTAATTAAATTTGTTTATTTAAACTAAATTAATTTAATCATTATGAAATTTAATTATTTAAAATAAAGCATGAATTTAATCTTTTAATTCAAGGTTAATGCAATTTACAACACCAATAAAGCATTATTTCTAGCTTCTTAGTCACCGGTACAGTACCGATGAATGCTTCCTAGTCACCGGTACGGTACCGGTGAATAGACTCGTCGGTCGGTCGTCGCATGCGGCCCGTGGGCCACGGGTTGGCTACCCCTGTGTTAAATAATGACCTACTTGTTACGATAGATATCGGCATTTACTGATACATATTTGTTTCCAACGGAAATATTACAAATGTTAGAGAAGGCTGTCAAGTTATTTCAACTTTCCTAACTAATAAGTTTCAATAAATTATGTAATGAATTCGAAATGGAAAATATGTCCAGGAATTTCACAACCTATACTTTTCGTAAAATATTTTTACAGCATTCTGCCTGTTTGTTAATTTAATTTTATGAAATCCTAAGAAAACTATTGTGTTTAATGGCTTTTTTAATTGGCTAGACGTTTTCTTTAAAAGTTAATGTGCTGTCTCAATTAATCTCTTAGACACGCTGACCATTATTTATGTTTAAAAGATAATACAGTTTTGTTGTATCAGAAGTTTCATTTAAAATGCCTGTTGAGCTATATAAAATCGATTAAAAATAAAATAATTTATTAATTTCATGTGGTAAGTAATATCCATTCTTAACATGTTTCATTCTCCAGTTTTACCAATAAAATGATAAAATATTAATAGATATTTCTGGTGGTTGATTTTAATGTGCTTAAAAATAAAACTTCAAAGAAATGCTTCCTTAAAGCAATAATAAAGTAAAAAAGGAAAGTTTTTCTTCGATCTGAAAAAGGATGAAATTGCCGGGTGAAAAACAGAGTGATTTAATGGGCAACCCTTTGATAGATTAGTGCGTAATAACAAATACCTACACGTTTTCAGAAAATATCTAACGAACATCAGTTTTCCTCGCCTGAGCGTAATTCAGAAGAAAACGGCGAAGTTTATCAGAACGGTTTTTCTTTGCAATCGCCTAATCATAATGTCGATCAGTTATTCGAAAACATAACTGAGACTGACTGCCATTCATCTGAGTCGGTACGAACTTCAGAAGTTCAATCAAATGAAATTTCATCCGAGGTACTGTACAAATCTTCATTCACAAAGATCGTTAACGAAACATTTTTACTTCAAACACAGACTATAAATGAACCAATTTCAATTCCGGTCGAAGCAAAAAACACAGAAGTTTTAGTAAAATTTGAAAATGGCAATGAAAAAGTCTCCTCAGCACGGCCTACTTCTTTAGAAATATCAAGCGATTCTGATAGAAGTCTAGAAAGGGTTTATAATGTAGAAACCGGGAAAGTAATGGTTAGAGTAGGAGATCGGATAAAAGAATTAGAAGAAGAAACCAAAAGTCCAAGGGGGATTAAGTATACATCGAAACCATTCGATTCTAAAGAAGCAACCGTTGTTGATGAAAACCAGAACATATCAGAAGAACCAAAAGCGTTCCTAATGACGGAAAAAGACCAAACTGATAATAAACACGTGCCATATAAAAAGCCAGAAAAACATAAGATACGTAAACAACTATACACCCACTTTTTAAGTCACTCTCCCACTAGTTCGGGACCCAAAATAGCAGACGAATTACATATAGAAGGTGATAAGAACGACAGTGTAACAAAAGCCATTTCATATCCCGTTTTGGATTCTAAATCGCCCCCTCCTGTTTCACCTCATCCTTTATCAAACGGCGATGTGAAAGAATTTAGTTTAGAGTACTCAACGGATAACGAAAGCTACAATTCCGTCATATCTGAAAAATCTCCCGAAAAAAGTCACAGTTTAAATTTAACTAAAACTCACAGTTCGCCGGAAACTGATACGGAAATTTCAGAAATAAGAAGCAAAAAATTAGTAAAAAATTTACTCGGTGAATTTTCAAAAGTACGAGAATACAGAGAAAGAAATGACATTCCAAAGAGAAACAGTTTAATCGACGATGAGGTAAAAGTGGAAGAAGCAAACGTAGTGCAAAATAAAGAGGAAAACACTGAGGAACAACATCATCATCATCATCATAGTGTCAGTGGTGACGTACCGATGCATGAGGTTTCTGACATCAACGAAAATACAGAAAAAAAAATTGAAAGTAATGAAAATGGTATTGAAGCGACGTGTCAAAGGAACGGACATGTGGATGAATTGGAACAACGAAGTGCAGAGGTAATCGAGACCCAGGAGAACGATTCATTATCTACCGAAGAAGTGACAGTACCTTCTGTACAATATTTGAAGAAAATCTTTGATAAAAATACCGTTCACACGGTAAGTATAATTATGGTAGTTAACCACACTAATGGTAAGTGTAAATGTTTCGTCCTGGGACATTGATGTTTAATCAAAATTCTTTGACTTTACGTACCGGCGAATAATTTGATAGATGATAGACATTTTAATTAGTTTTCGAACCTTACTACTTGTGGGATAATCTCTCAGATAACATTATCTACGGGTAAAAGGAATAGTAACTTTTCGGGAAAAAAATTATGTCTTAAAACAATTCATTCGTGGGCATCTTATAATTAGTTAAGCTACATAAGAGATTCTTTAATAATAATGCATATGTATTATATGTTGTAATTCAAAGCTAAACAAGAGTATTTCGAAAACGTAAACTAGAGTCGAATAAAATAATTCGAAGTGGACTGTGACACAGTTGGTCTGTGTTCTGTCGGAGCTACCTGCGATGCGCTGATGAGATCCAAAAAGATCGAAATCGCGATCCGCGTCTGGCAGTTTCGATAGAATACAGACCACTTCGAATTATTTTATTCAATTAAGCTAACGTGCCTATCACGTTGAGGTTGGCTACGTCGGGATTCGTTTTCAGCAAGTAGATATCCACACAAGTGGACCTTGTTGGAGTATACGTAATCCTAAAATGTAGCATCGTACTACAGATGGCGTTTACTGCGCCAGTTGTAGTATTTTCTTTTTCAAATACAGTCGACTCTCGTTAATTCAAACCTGCGATAATTCGAACCTTTCTATAATTCAAAGTTATCACGAGTTTTCGACAAAATCTCTTTATATTTCGAACTAAATCAATACATTTTTATACACTTGGTAATTCGAACGAAAAAATCATTGCTACGTAAGAAAACGACGCGTTAATTCGAACTCATCGGCGTCAAACACTCGACAATTTAAAGTTGCAGAGAGAAAGAGACAGAAAGATTGTAAGTACATTTTGAGGCAAGTTCAAACTTGTATCATTGTATCATCAAGCCTTTGTTTTTGTTAGGATTAGGAGAAAATTTATGCTGTTCAAACTGCTGAAGTACGGAAAAGAACTACTAAAGGTGAATTTCCTCGTCTGGAAGAAAGCGTAGTCATTTGGCTAAGACAGTGTAGAGGACAAAAAGTGTCTATTAGCGGAAACTTGTTAAAGTAAAACGCAAAAGAGTTCGCGTCTTCTCTAAAGATCAAAAACTTCGTGGCAAGTGAAGGGTGGCTTACAAATTTCAAAAAGAGAGAAATGAAACTATTTATTTTCTCTCAAAAATTTCGAGTCCCTCGAGTTTTGAATTAACGAGAGTCGACTGTAGATGTTTCAGTTTAATCATGACTAAAATACAATTTAAAGTTATAGCAAAAATATTCAAAATATTGTAGTTACATTACTGGAAATATTGTAAGAATACTGTTTGGACAAAGTTATACGTTATAGAGTAAACAGTATGTAAAATTACAGACTTAATCACAATGGGCTCATTTTTTCAGTAAAACTATAATATCTATCGATAAACAGATGTATTTGTTTTTTAATGGAATTGGCTAGTTGCTGTAACATTCTTTCTGAGAAGAGTAGTAGATTTTATGTACATTTCTTTCTTATCAAATTATTTTATCATTAAACCGTCACCCATTTTGTGCGTGTGTAGATTTGTGTAGGTGTAATGTACATATTGGTTTTCTATGTTTGTGTTGTAAATATTTTGTGATAAGACAGCTAAAGAATCTAAATCTTCCTTTACCTACTCGACAATAAGGTAAGTTAGGCACGAAAAAAAAACTATACCTGACTAAAATTTGCAATATTTAGTACAATAGTAGTATATATATACTAAAACTATCCATTAACCGAAGGTCCAGCTTTTTTACTAAAAGATGCTAGACTACAACGTTGAGTACCTACCTTGTCTACATCATCAATATTACCAAACATTAAATATTAGAGTCGTTGTAAATAGTTCGTTCAGTCTTGTTTTGTTACTTAACTTATGCGTTCTTGTTAATAAATATGACCTACCCCACAAAAAATTGGTACGTACTAATAAAGTGGAAATAAATAAAGATAAGCTTCAACGTTGCCAAAAAAAATCAATATTTCTTCTTTTTTAATATCGCATCAAAATATGATCACATAAGTAGTATGTTTTAATAATGGTTACTAAGAAAATTAGATCGATTAAAAACGAGGTCGCTCAATATTTTTAAAAATTCAAAAATTGTAGAATTTTTAAATTTTTGTTTTTATTTTTTTTTTCTTTGTCATTTTTGTCAACGTTTGAATTTTCAAATATTTTGAAAATTTCAAATCGATGTATCAATTTATACAACTCATTCGCAAATATCCCAATTTTGGTACTGTAAAAATTAAACCTCTGCAGTTAACATACCGACCTGAAATTTTCAAAATATTTACAATTTCAAACGTTGGCAAAACAGTATGACAAGAAAAAAATTTAAGAAAAGAAAAAATTGAATTTTTTGAGCAACCTCTAAATTTTTGTTATTTTTAACGAGCAATAGTAAAACATAGTAAATGAACATATTTTCATGTGAGATAAAAACAAAAGAAATACACCTTTTTACTTAGCTATGCATTTGTAAGATACATTTATAGCGTACATATAACAAAGAGAAAAACAATTTTTAGGTATTCGTTAATACAGCTAGTGTCGTGATGAATTTTTTCGATGTTTCTGAATTTTTTGAACATGTAGAGACATGTTTCATTTTACTTGATCTATTCACGACCATATTTACACGATACTCGTGAAAAAAGGTCGTTTCTAAGAACTCGCAACTTTTTCATGCAATAATTTCACTAAAATAGATGCATTCCTATGACTTACATCATAGCCACCTACGTTTGAACAGTTTCTTTTAATGAACGTAGAATGACGAGACTTTTAATTTGATATATGATGCATGTACTAGCGATCTTCGCAAACATTACTTCTGATTTTCCGAATTGCTATTAAGTATATAATATTATACATATATTATTTTCCCATGAGTATAATCGTCACATTTATTCACACTATTAAGATGAGTTGAAATAAAAGAAATGGACGATTTTTATTTAATTATTTGTTTTTATTTTTCAGAAATTGCTTTCCAAAGCCGAAAGTAATAAGCCCGTGTACTCATTAACAGCAAGAAGTATACCAATTGAAGTCAGACAAGAATTAAAAAAAAGTGCAGCAACCGATCTCTCCACTAAGGCAGGTAGGTCTTAGAGTACTGTGTTTTACTATAAGTTTATAGTAAATAGTTTATATTTCAATGTACAAGTGCAATTGAAATTCGCAGTAGGGAAACTTTTTTATACTTACATTTTTCTTTAATTTTTAAAATGATTTCACTTTTAGATTAGAAAATCACTTTAAACTAACGTAAGTCATTATAAAATAGTCCAGAATGCAGACTTTAGATACTGTTGTCTCCTTTGCTAATAGCGTAATTTGGGCAACCCACTATATGCCCCTTGGAGACTTCTTCACGTACAGTGGGTTGCCTACACGTGACACTAATAGTTTAACTTTTTCTTGTAAATTTTATCAGATCATTTAAATCAAACAAATTTGTAAATAAAGGAGGCACATATTTAAAATTATAAAACTAAATATTTCATTTTTACTTTTAATGTCTAATTAGTAAAAAATATTTGTTTATTTCTCTTAATAGATGAAAAATTATTTGTATTCTACTTTATTGATTTTTTTAATATGAAATATTCTCAATTTTTTACCCACTACACACTTTTTCCTCATTAATTTGAGGAAGTGTGTAGTGGCCAAAAAATTGAAAATATTTCAAATTAAAAAACTAACTCACTTCGGGAAGATTTCTACATTGTATCTACTTTATTGAATTTAACTGCCGTGTAAAATATCATTTTTTTAATATACTTATTTTTTATTTATTCAAGAGTTAATTAAAGAAGAAGCAAGTGTCAGTGAGATACCGGATTCATCAATAGGATCCCTGGATGAAGTTGAAGACGTGTCATTTCCAAAAGCCATATCAAAAATTCAATTTTTTGAATCATTAAAAAAATGATACGAAGTATATTTATTAACCATTCATTTAATTCAATATTCCAAAGATAATTTAAGAGTGAATTTATAAATTAAATATTTTTTATACCTTTTCTCAGCTGCATTTGCCGCTGTACTTTTACTATGAAAAGTGAATGCCTTTACTATTAAATGCATGTAATAACCTGTAAAAATAAATTTTTGTAAAAAATATTCAGTATTATACATACATATAGATATTTATAAACACCTATGTAATTGTAACTTACATAATAAAGTCATCTACATCCATTGTTCGCGCTCGTTTTTTGTCAGCTTCTACTTCCGATAAAATATTTTCTAATGTCTTTTTCATGCTGAAGTCCTTAGGTATTTCCTGAAATTTTGTGTTAAAACATACACGCCAGCTTTCTTATTTTTTTTTCATTCAAAATACCTTATTATGTAAACTGCAATGCACTTTATAATTCTTTTCTATCGTTGCAAGTACAGCAGTTTGTTTGAAAGCACTACCTAATGTTTTGTTTTTACGAGTGAAGGCTATCCGCGTGAGTCCATCCCATTCCTTATAAGGAATAGGGGGAGGTGGGTTTCGTGGTTCTATTCTTACCACTGCTGATTCAACTTTTGGAGGAGGGCGAAAATTAATTTTCCCAACCTGTGGACATAATAATCTTTTTGTTAGCAATTAATAATGTCTAAATATTGCTATGATTTTACCTTCATTATCATATCAACTCGTGCTAGTAACTGTGTGTTAACTGAGAGTCGACAGTATAATTTGTCTCCAGGTTTAGCAACTAATCTTTGTGCAAATTCCTTTTGAAACATTAAAACAGCACATCTAAAGAATGGTCTGTGTAACAGAAGTTTGAAAACCAATGGTGAGGAAATTTGATATGGGATATTTGCCACACACACATTAAAAAATGGAAGCTCAGCCTTTAATACATCGCCAATCAAAATTTGCAATTTTGTTTGGTAAGGAGTTCCCTGAACGCGCTTTTGTAATTCTGCAACTAGTCTATAAAAGGGTAAGTCATACATAATAAACAAGAGACAACAGCTGTTTTACCTAGTATCAATTTCACATGCTATCACTTTTTTTACTTTCTCTAAAAGTTTAACAGTCATGTTACCAGTACCAGAACCAATTTCTAACACAGTGTCAGTTGGATGTAAAGCTGCCTTCTCTATCATTGAAATTGTTATCATTGGATTTTTTAAAATGTGTTGTCCAAAATTTTTGTTGAATAAAATACCTAACAAATAGAGTTACAATATGTAAAATTGTAAAATTGAATGAACCATTTTCAACTCAACCTTGTCGGGCAATTTCATTATGAACGCGGGTTTTCTTGCTGGGCTTTACTTTCGGCATCTTTAGTATTTATTCTCGAGTTTAGTAAAACACCTTTCTATACTTTTGTTACCATAAACAAAAAAAATACGACAAAAATTGAAAACATAACACAACAAAACAACGTGAGATTTTCGAGGTTATGGTTACAATTTTGAATTCGATAAGGTGACTACATCGAAATTGTGATAGAACAGCGTTTACACGAATATATAATTTATAATTTAACATCGAAATTCATTATACAATATGCTTTCCTTTTCAAATATTAGCAATTTATTTATTTATACTGTATAAATATTATAATTAAATAGGAATATCACAATCAGAAAATCAGAATGGTGCATATACATAAATAAGACTACGTTTGTAAATGTAAGCCAATATAGTAGGCAACACATTATACTAGGAGAGGCAAAAAGAACGTTACGATATTACGAGAAAAATGACCATGCAATACTTTGTTTAGGTGTCTTAGTTAAAAGTATGTTAGTTGCTTTTGGGGTGCTAAGTAGTACAACAGTATTAGCAAAACCGATTTATCAAAAATTCTTCAGAATTGTTTCATAAGAGTTCAATCAATTTTAACATTATGTTAAGCTTTCTTACGAAGTACGGAAAGTGAATTAAAACCATCAGTGCGAAAACTTAAGATTACTTAAACCTTTTTAAAAACGCATTAGTTTCTAAGAAACTTTTATATATTAAACTACTGAAAAACGCTGTTTCCTTTTAATTTTGCTAAGCATTTAAAAATTAAAAAGGAAGACTCACCCCCTAATTACTACAAAAAACTTTTTGAGCGGTCACGTGTTTCGCCCACTTCATATGTGGGCAATATCAACGCGAGACTGGCCCTCGTCTTTTTAATTTTTAATTAATATTTACCACAGTCTCCTCTTTCTACTTTGCTAAGCATTTAATTAAAAAAATTAATATAAGAAGATAAGTACGTACTAAGCAACTGCAACTGAGATGGGTACCGTCATAAGGTTGTGGGATGTTCTAGTTTTAGGGAAATGCGACGATCAGCCCAGGATAGGAAAGAGTGGAGGTGCGTGTCTAACTAGTCTTCGAGACCGCAAAGGAGCCGCAGTGCAAGAAAAGCAATTGTTAATAAGTTAGATAGGTTAACGTTTATGGGAATTTATTTTTAAAAAGTATTTGAGATGAACTTCTAACTAATAGATGTAAATTGTATTACCCTGTATTAAATTCAATTAATTTTGGATTCTTTGATAAACTTTTGTGTTTATAAAATTATGCAGTACCCAATTTGAATAAATACCACAACAAATAAAGAAGAAAGCACAACTGCGGAAATTTATCAGTGACCAGTACTTTTCCCCTAAAAAACCCTGTGGGTTGTGTGGATACACAAATTAAAATTATTGACACTTAAAACATATTGCATGTTATTTCTGTTCATGCTTTGTCTGTATCTCACATTAATTATTTATTGTTTCTCGTACTCGTTAGACCGCAACGTAATTAAAAGTTAAAACTTATTAGTCGTTGAGGGGGGGGGTTGAATCCTCTAAAGCTCCTCCTCTGGGCTCACCACTTAAATTAATTCTATTGGATATGTGCATGTACATTAAAAAAGGGTTTATTTGGACATAACAACCCAAACAAGTAATTTAAGATAAGATCAAAAAATCCTTGAAATTTAGCCTTGCATTATTAAGTTACAAATTAATGGTACAAAACTTATGAAAGTGTCTCGCGAAGTCAGAAATACACATTTCCTGTTACAACATCCGCATCAAGCGGTACCTAACTTATTATTTAAATAAAATGTTATGTTATTGTACAGGTGGAAGTCCTTAAACAACTAAAAAGTTAAACGAACTGTTAATAGGATATTTACTGATCGTGAGACATGAAAAAGTAACTGTAGGTAGTGTTACAAGAACAAGTTATGAAATAAAAATACCGTGGCTACGGTGCGTTACTTATGTACGTTAGGAAGAAAAGATTACGGCAATATTTACAATAATTTGTATGTAACCGCGTCAGATGTAGGTAAGTTATTAATTAACAGTTAAATGAGCATGACCCTGATAGACAGTTCGTACTGATAGGCGTTTAGGATGCAGTACCCGAGGCTGACTGCATGTGTTTTCGTCCAGAAGAGCTTATAAGATGATTTAACATTTTCAAATGAACGCTGAATTTCTTTACTATTCAATTTTTATTTCGTTCAATACAAGTACACGTCTTTCCCCATCCATTTGTGTAGATTATTGCGGTCATTTTGATCATGGCACAGAATGTCGACTCAAAACGAATCATTAAATTCCAAAGTTTTCTTTCCTTGTATGAAAAAGGTTGTTAAAGGTGTATGTTTGGAGCACGGCGTTGTATGGGTGCGAAACATGGACAGTGGGCGCGGCAGAAAAGAAAAGGTTAGAAGCCTTCGAAATGTGGTGTTACAGGTGAATGATGAGGATAACGTGGGTAGAGAGGGTTAGAAATGAGGAGGTATTAGAAAAAATAGGAGAACAGAGGACTCTATGGAAGTCAGTAAGAAGTAGGCGAGATAGATTGGTAGGACACCTTCTCAGGTATGAAGGTCTAGTCAGAGACATATTAGAGGCAGAAATAGGAGTTAGGAGGGGTAGAGGTAGACCTAGATTAGATTACTGTTCACAAATAGTTAAGGATGTGGGTTGTTCCAGTTTTAGGGAAATGCGAAGTTTAGCTCAGGATAGCAAAAAGTGGAGGTACGTGTCCAACTAGTCTTAGGACTGACGACCCTATTACCATTATAACGTCTTAGTTTGACACGCGCCTCCACTTCTTTCTATCTTGAGTCAAGAATAGCATTTCTCGAAAACTGCAGCATCCTACATCTTCAACTATTTGTGAACAGTAATATAATCTTGGTCTACCTCTTAACTCTTGTTTCTTCATGTCTTTAGACAGCCCTTCATGTCTGAGTAAGTGTCCTACCAATCCATCTTGCCCTCCCTGTTTTCCTGATCTTTCTAATACCCCCTTATTCTAACCTTTTCTATCTATGGTACTTCTAATATGTATTTAAAATTACATAAAGCATATAACGTTAAAATAGCGAAGTATTATCTTAAATTTTAATAGATACGGAGGGTAATAGTACATTTTTGATCATCGCAGTTCCTAACTTTTCTGTGAATTTTTCAGAGATTACTAAATTACCTGTCAATTTCAATTTCAAGTTTTTCGGGTCGAGTGAACCCTCAGATTTTAGTTTTACTATTATTGTTATGGTTGGGTTTAGGGCTGCTTAGACCTTAAAAGCGATGATCTTTTCACTCTCCTTTTAGTCACTGTTTATGTTTACGCTTCAAAGGAAGCTTCTTAAAAGGAATAGTACCCTATTAGTACTAAAGAGGTAACACTTTCCACTTGTTGGATATAGCTCCAAAAAAAGCGGTTCATGGGTTCAGGAAATGGATTCCACTTCCTCGTCAGAAAAACAACTGGAAGGGTTGATTCTGTGGTACGATTTTTAATAAAAATTCAGATTTTAAATCAGAACCTCGATAAGGGATAAATAAGTTATTTATTTTGAAACCAGGTCCAACGTTTCGCCTATTCTTCTAAGACTTCTTCAAGTATAGGTTTAGGCATTAATATTATACAAAAGTTTAAGAACAATAGGCAAAACGTCGGGCCTGGTTTTTAAAAAACTTTGACATTTTAGTAGTGGTTAATACCAAATATTAATGTGAAAATGAATTTTTAAATATTATAAATAAATTATTTATCCTTTATCGAGGTTCTGATTTAATAAATTGGAATAAATTTGGGGAAGAAATGGATATCATTTTAATAAAAATCGACTACAAAACTTTGTTTGAACAGCAGACTTCGCAGATATCATCAGACAGTAAAGCTTAGGATGCTGGTATTCCACTGAGTATTTGTTATTATTACGGGAGTTCTATATTCCTCTATACATACGATAAATTGATAATATCCACAAAAAAAGCTACAGATGATAAGGATCTGTCACGTACCAATTGCTACTTAATGGAGTAATGTATAGGTAATCTACAGACTCCTTTAGATACACTTCCTGAAGTTTCCAATGTATCAATCAATTCTAGTAAAAATAAGTAGACGATCCATTCGCAGTTTTATTTGCATCGCTGACGCATTTTTGTTTCGTACTTTGAATACTACTAAATTCTCTTGATTTTATTTCACGAACCAAAAAGGATATTAATTTCGTTGGAGTTTCAATCGAAGCGTATTAACGCCAATATGGTTTGAAAGAAATTTTATCAAATTCTGCCTCTACGAAAACCAAAGGTAGGTTAAGGATGGGAGCTATGTCAAAATGCTACGAGTCAAATAAACATTTGGAAGAACGTTCCTCATTCAATTCTAAAACTCCTGTAAAAATTACATCTCAATTCACGAAACCGTTAAAAAGTTATAGAAATTTTAAAAAATTGTAATTTTACACGTAATTTTATGGAGATTCGTTAACCGAACAGAATAAATTTATTTTTATTAACAGAAAAAAGCTACCAGAAATTTGAAACTTTTATAATAAGTAACTTGAACTCTGGAGAATCACTTTAGCGTAAGGTTATTCAAATTCACTAAATGGTTATCGAGGAAAAAATGAAAAATTAGCTGAAAATCTCGTTTTTACTTGATAATATAATGATAATATTTATAATTGTCTGAAATAAATGCAGATTCGATGA